CGGCCCGGCCGGGCCTTCGGCCCGGAGCAGGTCCGCCTTTCGGCTCCTCGGCCCCGAAGTACAGCCCTTGCCGACGTTGCCGCTGCTAGTTGGCGCTTGGATGGGACGCTGGAGCGCGGTCGGCGGAGCTCCGTTAATCGGTGCCTTCGTACGTGGTACCGCGGTCCTCGCAAGTGCCCTTAAAAACGGCGTTCCTTACCCCCCTAAAGCCTGCGGCGTGGCTGATGAGCGCCGAAGCTCGGCTCTTCAGGGAGAACCAAGTATCGGCTCTCCTTAAGTCCCCGAGGGGGTTGAGCTGCCTGGGATACTTCTGAGGACTGGAGGTGGTCGTCCGAGTAAAATCAGTGAGACCCATCTCTTGGGGGGGAGGGCGTGTGTGTGAGTGTGACCCGCACTAAAGCAGAGAGGTGGCCAGACAATGTAACACAGAGGCACCTGCAGTCAAAAAGCGCTTCTGGGGTTTTGTAAGCCAGAGCTCTCCGCTAATGCAGAGAATCCGTTCGCTCGGCCTTTGCAGAAACTGATTAATGCGAACAGAAAAAACATTCGACTTGTCCATCAAACCCCCCCCCCTTATTCTTTGCAAGTGAGGTCGAACGGAGGCTTTGCCTGACCGGGAGTTGCCACATAGCCCTTTTTGCTTTTAGCTTGGAAGGACATTTCAGGACTTACACCTTTGAACTGAGCCAAGTCTACTGTCCACCAGCAGAAAATTCACAGCAGTTGGTCCTGGGTGGAGGTACAAAAGTCTCAGAGTTTGTGCAGACACGTGGGTGAATTTGGGGAAAAACCATGCTTAAAGAGAAGACCTAGGGAGAGTTGCAGTGTGTTTTCTCGGTTTCTTTTGAAGAAAAATCATTCTGTCTTTATTTCTGGGTGGCCTACCTAATTTATTTATTCTTTTAAATCGGGAGTCATTGGTGGTGTTTTGGGTCGAACAATCATTTGTTTCAACAAAAAAAATTTTCCTCTTTTTTTTTTTTAAATTGTGCTCTGAGCTCAAAAAGTGCACAACTTGCACAGCTCTAATAAAAACCAATCTATGAAAAGTTTGGGAAGGTTGAGCTCATGGAGCTTTTAATTTCATATCCCAAACTGAAAAGAAAATCCCATCACTGCCATTTATTTTTCCTCCACCCCTGGGGGGAGGGGGGAAGGATACCCTGCACCGGTGGCCCCAGGAGAGCCCAGGAGAAAGTTAATAACGTAATTTTAGAAGTTCACCTTCTCTGGGGGAGGAGCGAGGGGCCTTACGGCAGCCCCGGCCCCCGCGGGAGGGGGGGAGTGTGTGGGGGGTCGCCGGCGTCCGTGGTGCTGAAAGGCAACGGGAGAGAATCCGCCGGGCTGCACTGCCACCGCCTGCTACCGTGGTTGGAGTATGTGAATAGCCATTTTTTGCTTTTGAGTTAATCAGATGGAAGCATCCTGAAGGATTCCTGAAGCGTTTTAAAGAAAATAACCCACCATTGTGGTTTTGGTTTTGTTTTGGTTTTTTTTAGGTTTTGATATACCAAAAGTGCAGATTTTCTGGCAGGTCAAAGGTGTCACATACTGTGGATACCATCTGCGGTGTACTGAATTTTGAAAGCGTCACCATGCTGCCATAATCCTGTTTAGAGAGTAGAAAGAAACGGTTAGGTCCTGGTGGCTGACTGATCAAACCTGGGATATTAAAGCCGAAGGTGAATGAGGCACAAGAGATGTGTGTAGGAGGAATAGCAGATGAGCATCCCATGGACTGCCAGGGAAGGAAGCTGGTGTTTCTACTTGCAGGTTAATCCTGGATCACCATAGTGATGTCCAAGTTTCATACTGCACTGTATAGTAGGCTTAAGCTTTAAACATACCCACCTATTAAAATTCAAGGATACCCGCCTCTTAAAATTATCCTCATACCTTTTCCCCCATTTTCCTTCTACTCAACCATTGTGAGCAGGAAAAGCTATCATGAAGCAGGTGGCTTCATTTATGTTGCTCCAGGAGTTGCAGCTAGTGATAAGAATGAAGAAAACAGTTTTTGTTTTGGCCAAGCAGTTTTTCAGGGTCTATGGTATGAGTCCTGTGTCTAACTGGGCTCTTGAACTTAAAAGGTAGCATGAAGAGGAGGTAACCATGGACTATGTTATTGCTGCTCCTGGAAATGAACCAAGACACCGAAGGAGGCTACTTATGTCACCTAGCTTCCTCTGCTCCACAATCTGGGGGTCAGCAGAAGAGGACTATGGTTGTTTATCACACATTTGTGATAAACATTTGTGCTCTGTTTTACGTTCGGATCGCAATCATAGTAGCTGGAAGTCTACTAAACCTTCCAGTCTTTCCCCTCTGCAAGCAGAGGGGCTCTTGCAGTAGCGCATCACTGAAGTCTTGTTCATTAGTAACCTTTGCTTGGGGACCAACTGGTGACAAAGCGTCGCTTTATGGGTCGTGTGTCTAGAGCTTTCTGCTCTAGTGCTTTGTTGTAACTCTGCCCAGCCACTAAATACTGGGCAATTTATTCCCTTGTGTTCTTGACTGCATGTTGATAAGAGGAGATTTCTTTCCTTTGGGGAAATCTTTTACTCCTGCTGTAATTATTATTTATGTTATCTTTATTCTCCCCTACTCTCCACAAATCTAGCCTGTAACGTGGGCTAGATTTATGAAGTAGGTCACCTTGCATATAAGTCTGTCTTTTACCTGTTTTTCCTACTCTGTAGGAATGCATTGGTTAGAATAATTAACTGTGACTTAGAAGACATAGTTTTCAGCCACTTCTGGAAACACTTCTTTATTCCAGGCATATGTATGGGCTTTTCTGTGTTGCCAAAAGGCTCTCCCTTCCAGTGCAGATTGACCAGTAAGGGAGAATCTGCATCCTGAAAAATAAGTGGAATTTGTTTGCATCAGCTAATATAAGAAAGAAATGTGGCAATGTAATGATTGCATCACTGTGGAAAATAACACAGCTAGAGATCAGAAATCTGAGCAGACAAATGGGAGAAAGTCTAAATGAAGAAAGAGGAAAATCAATGGGAAAGTAATGGGTTATTGGACATTAGAAAGTAGAGCAAAGGTATGCAGTGAAACACATAAGTAGATTTTTGAAGATGTTAACAGCATTTATCACATTTTTGTCCATTTTCGGATAACGAACTTCTGGTTTATTACTGGTTGTTGTAGACACACCTTTGTGAAAATTTAAGCTTTACTGGTGGGATGATTAAAAACAGGCAAAACAAAAAAAGATACAGGCACAGGGAGGAAAAGGTGAACACAGTTGGAGAGAAATTGTAGGCCAAGGCAATTTGCAGTAACAAAAGTGGAAGCAGCAGAAGTACTCTTTGTGTGATGTGATGTCAGCAGACGTTTTAGTAACACTTTGATTTTTGCAGATGTATCAACATCCCTGTTTCTTCATGTGGAGGTACTGTATATTATTTTTGAGTGGTCACTTCAGCATGACCTAGAAAGGTGGTAAGATGGAGGAATGAGTGAGACCACCTTGAGCTTTCTCCTGTTTTTCTTCCTGTACCTTTCATCCCATTCTTAAGGACCAATGTGACTACAAATGCCTGTGGACTGTTGAGTGATGGTGATGATTATGTCCTATTTCTGCACTCCTTGGTGTCAGCATGGCAATTTTAGGTGAATTTAGCATCTAATGATGTATACTTCTGTGTTGATTGCACCTCTGTGCACCTAAGAGTGAGGAGTGTGACAGAGTGTCTCTCTTCTAAGCCATTCTCTTAATCCTATGAATGAATTAAGGAATAAAGCTTTGCCGTAGACTTGCCTTGCTAACATAGGTTTAATTCTGATTACAAATTTTATTTTCAAGCTTTTTTATGTGATTGTAGTGATTCTCAATACTCATTGTTACAGTTCTCTTCAGTACAATGTGTCTCCAAATTATAGTATTGTTTTGCCAGATTTGTCAGGATTTTCAGTCTTCTAGCTGAAGCGGCAATCCTCTCTCTCTCCCTCTCTCTCTCTCGGAGCAGGCTAAAACTGGATCTAAAGGGAAATAATTCAGTACATCAGGTTGGCACCAGTTTTCCTTGTGTTGTACCTTTTACCCTGATGTTTACATTCTGTTTCGTATCCTCCAGGGACTCCTGCGTAAAAGCTTGTTTCTCCCTTATTGGGCTGTGCAGAGCTTACAGTTAGAAAGAGGTTTGGTGACCATGGCAGCTCTCAGCTGAACTCGTGTTGTGAACTTAATGAAGGTGTTTATTTTGTGTTATACAGCATAGTACATTCTGTACATGTTTGGGGCTTGTAGGTTAAACTTGCTTCCACTGCCAGGGTACGCTGTAGCTTGTAAGGTAATCTGTGGCACAAATGTCATTCACTTTACACCGCACATGCATTCTTATGAAAAGTATAATGAGTTATGTACCTGTAATTGCATCTCAAAGAGAACATTAATTGTCATGAATTAGTGACGGTCATGTCAGTAGTTTCTTACTAAATTTATTTTCTTTTATGGTTTATTAGAAATTACATCTTTATTGGCTTTAGAGTCATCTCTAACAGAGCAGAGGAAGAGAAAAAACATATGTTATCTGTCAAATGATAAAGACTTGTATGCATTCCACTGTTATGACAACTTGCACTTTTCTGGTCCATTAAGGAGGCTGTTTTAACTCACTGGTTAGAGCTCCTCAGTTCCTTTCATTAAAAATAACAGACTTTCTGATGCTGAGATTGTGGGGCGTTTGTAAATGCAATGACAGCAAAGAAAGATTTTGTTTAAAGCTAAGCTAGGTATACCAGAAATTATGGAATAATTAATTAACCTGTTTTTTTTTAAAAAAATAATATTTGAAGTATAACATATGTAAGAAGGATGCATGGGTTTTGAGGTTTTTTTTTAAGTGCGTAGTATATTTGAGAGAAATTGTTCATTCTTACTTGAAATACATGTTTCCAAGAGGTACTTGCAGAATGAGAGGTTCTAAAAAAGACATTTCAACATGTATCTTTTCCTAATTTTTCTCTACCTTCTGCAAAAGAAAAAAGAAAACTAAGGGGACAAAAAGGGTTGGAGGACGTACATCCCTGCTGTGAGGGATGGAGACTTAGAGACTGTAATCTGTCAGTGAGCCACTGAGCAGTTAGCAGCATTTGCTGCAAACTGCATTTTTCTTCCTTTTCTTTCCCTGAATGTTGAAACAAGGAGCTAAGAGGACAGTCCTTTCTCTGACGGTTTTGGTTCTGAATCCATACTGCTATCACTGAAACCAGAAATGAAGCCAGCAAACTAGGTTCACATAAGTTATAAAGAGCTATAAA